TTGTGCCATGCAATCTACCATCCTTCAACCACCTTTCAAAGAAAGGCAGTGGCTCTGCAGAGCAGCACAGTCTGCATGATGCCCCGCATCTCAGCCCTTGGCCTGCTCCTTCTCATTTCTGCCACAGTGCAGACAAAAACATCTAATTTCCAAATTTCAGCTGGTGACGCTCGCAGGGATACCAAAGACGAGGTGTACAGAGTGCCAGAATCATGGTGGGTTTTTCTCGTTGTTTGCAGTTAGAGAGGCAAAAGAAACACCTGTTCCCATGAAGAAGGAAGATCTAGTCCTAATTGTAATCAAAGCTGTCCATGTGTCTCTCAGGAAAAGTGAGGTCTGATGTCCTTTGGGAAGCATTTGCGAGGCCTTTTCTCAACAAACCTTCTCTCACCACAGACAGATGCCATCTGTCTTGCAGCTGGGAGTTAATGGATTCTGAACTGCCAATTTCACAGCAGTAAGCAACGTGGTTGATAGAGGAGGCATGAGGGATTTCCTACAATAAAACTATTTAAAACAGTGCAAAGGTGCATGCTGAAATATATGTGATGAGCAAAAGAAACAGCAATATTGAGGTCTGACAGCCTGTGCCAGCTGGGATTCCTCAGCTCGTTGTACACCTTGTGTGCACATCCAGCACCAGGATTTGAGACTTCTGAAGAACAGTCTCACTCCATCTATGCCCTGTGCCAGGACAGGCTATGGACCCCAAACAGGCTGTGCAGCTCCTGACTGTGCTATGAATTCTTTTCATACGGAATATCCAGTTCTGCCATATAGCTCAACATGTGCTAAATCCATTCATGAGTCCACTTTGGGGTTTTCTGGCACTTCTGAAAGAGCTCTCTGCTGCATTAACATGCACTGTGCTGTATGAAACCCAACCAATCAACGGCACCGCTGCCAAGAAACAAAGCAAGAGTCCTCAGGTATATTATATGCCAACTTTCCAAAGCACTTCAGGACTTTCTGATTAAATTTACATAAGATGCATCCTTCCTTCTTGTTCCCTGTTAGACACATTAGATTGTTTCTAGTATTCTTGTGTCTGAGATTACCAGCGCTGGATAGGAGAAGGCATGCTGTGCTTGTAGCACGCAATCAAGGCAGTTTGTAAGAGCACCAAGATCCTGTCTTGGTCATCTGCAGTGGATTTTCATGCTGGTGTAATGAAAATAAACAAGTTGTTTATAGTAAGAGATCTCAGGGGTAAAATTTAATTTTTTAATTGTTTAATACATGCAAGCTGGGAAAATTAGGGCCAATGCAGATCAAGCTGGAGACAGGCAGCTCCCAGGAGGTAAAGATGGAAGGCTGGAGCACTCACGAAGTAAATGCTGTTGCAGTGGTTGATAGAGGAGTCCACCATCTAAGCTTGCCATGACCAAAGGCTGTTCTTCCACAGCACTCTCTGCCTTGTAAATGAATGGCTTTCATACAGCCCCTCTGTGATGGGCAAAGACATTAGTATCTGAAACTACCTCAATATTTCCATCAGAAGAAGCTAGAGACTTGCAGGTGGACCCCAAACTGAGATACTTCTCAAAGTTAAAAAAAAAAAAAAAGAGGATGAAATACAGGATTAGCTAATAGATAATTAGATAATAGATAATTAAGAATTAGCTACACATGTGGCTAAAAAGAGCATGAGTCAGTGAGAAAATAAAGGGTACTCAGCAAAGAAGCGACTATTAAATATTTTTATCTCAGTTGATCAGTGTGCTGTGTGAGTCATTTGCTCAGGCAAGGAGGGGGATTTCATATTGTTTTTATATTTTTAATAGACATTCTTACGGACCTCATGGTTATAATAATGAGAGTACCTGACAATTAGTAATGAAATTATCCTCACTACAGTAAAATATTTCACAGCATGTAAAATGTTATTCCTAATACAAAGGTAGAAGTCAGGCACAAGGAAATTAAGCCCGTGATTTTCATAAATGTTTGCAAAATAAATATGCGTATATCAATAAAATTGATCACATTTTTTTTCAGCTGGAAGACAAAACCAAAATTTGCAAAACATTGATACCACCACTAAAACATTTTTACTTTATGCACATAAGATATTTATTTACACTGTCTGATGAATTGATCCATTGTTTGTATCTACAAATCGAATTTTTTCAGCATCTGAAACTCAGAAATTCTTTTTTTTTTTTTATATCTACTATTTTTCTTAAACACATTTCCTAGTTAGTGTGGCTGATGCATATGAGCAGACACGGATGTTCCTTTGAAAGAAAAAAAATACCCTGTAATTAAGAGAAGATTTTTTGGCAGAGATAATGTTTTGACTTTTTTTTTTCCCCATTTTTTAAAAAGATTTTCATTTAATGTTTTTTATCAGAATGAAATGCTTTAATGAGCACAGAATTACATCTGATCGCAGCTGAACCAGACAGGGCTGCACTCCGAGGTGTGGAGCTCCCATCAAGCTGCATTCACCTTTGCTATGATTTAAACTTCATTCAGGCAAAGCCTTGCTAAAAATACTAACAAGTAACTAATCAACTTCCACAAAATGGAATTTTTGCCTTCACAATAGGAAGTAGGAGTAGGAGGGAACCCGAAAGATTTGCCTATGCATTTCAAATTAGTGTGACCTATAAAAATGCAACCACCGAGTGGTACAACGAAAGGGTACTTCTGGCAGGGCTTTTTTGTTTACTTTTCATGCCATCTTTTCCTTCCATGTAACCACAACCACGGATGTGATAACAGAAGGATGGGTTTCCATTAGTTATACCTATCAAGTGTAAATACAGGGCCATCCAGACCACACAAAGCCCAGTGTCCAGGAGCTAGCATTAGATTTGAACACTTTATGTAAACTAGCAGAGAAAACTGACAGACTTCTTTCCATACAAATCTGTGCTGTAACTTCACATGTGCACTTCGAGCTGCAGTTTGTGAGCAGATGGACAAAAAAAATATTCAGTGCCCAGTGAGCAAAAGCATGGGAAATCAGATCAAAACTGTTACCTAGATCTTGGAGACAGCAGAATGCTCCAGGGCAATCTGAAGATTATGTGGATGGAAAAAACCAGATAGTGCTGGTCTTTGAAATGTCGATTTGTCCTATTCTGGATAATTAAGGAGTAAAGCTTAGCAGGGAAAGCTATAACTCCTGCTAGGAATCACCCAACCTTCATGTTCAGGGGCCAGCAAATGGGCCAGTTGCTACAGATGAGCAGAAACTCGAACCAAGCCTGAAACATCAGGGGTTCTCACGCTTAATCAAGTTGCACCATTTGTACAAAGCTATGATCTTCTCTGTCATTACAATACTTTCTGCATGTCAGAAGCAAAGGAGAGCAGCACTTTGTAAATCATTTCTCTTTCCTACCCCATTTTTTATTTATTTTTCGGTATACCCACTAGCATCTATATTTAAAAACCACATTGGAATGTATTTCTGTGACAATCTGGGAGCCCTGCATTTCCAAAAGCTAAGTTATCTTTCCAAGGCTACTGGCAGTTTAAGTGATGAATACCAATGCTCCCGTACCGATATAAAATCTAACATTTTTCACTCTCACTAATACTGGAGTACAGCATTCCTGAGGTCTCCTGTTTTATCCCCAGTGCCACAGAGATTTCAGTCCTTATAAATCAATACATTTGCCATGGTACAGCGGTGTCAAGTTGCCCTCTCACTGTCTAGTCAAAGCCCCAAAGAGATCAGTAGGGAGTGTGGCAGGGCTTAAGTTCATTTTGCAAGTAGCCCTCTTATTTTTCACAGGAATGCAGGAATTAATCTAAACTATCAATACCTTATTAAAGGTATTTTTGACACATTCAGTAATTCTCTTTAGACATCTCTTCAACATGTTAGGACAAAACTTTAATGGGTCACTCCCTACCCAGCATGGCTGAACACAGAGATTCATAGATTCCTTTCTATAGGACAGACACAGAAACATTTGCCACCTAATACTTTTTCATTCCTTGCCATGTTTCCCCAATTACACAAAGAAATGTCACCAACAACTCAAGCGTACCCATTACTCAGTGAATAGAGCACATGCTCCTTCAGTCACTACAGGGGTCCTTGCAAAGTTCACCTGAACTTCTGAAGGACTCAGCCAGCTCATTGTGCCTCCCAGACATTGGTTGTGCAGGAAGCTATGACCAAATCCATGGGAAACAGATAATGAGAACCACTCATTTGAATCCAGGCACTGTTTCAAGATGATGAGGTGAACTTCCCGAGAAGGGGTGCCAATGGCACACCACTGTTTCTCAAAATGAGGTCTGAAATTTTACATTTGTCACAATTTTCTTCCAAGGGAAGAGCTGAAAAACTCTGCCAGAAATTCTTTTTTTACATGCAATCTTTCTACCACTCCAAAAACTGCAACTAGAGGAATATCGACGTGTAACTGTATGTGGCGAACACATATCAACAGCAAAAATACACAACCAAACACGTCTGTCAAAGCCCTTTTCCCTTTCTTTTTATGTCATCCAACAACCATCACAGAAAGCCACACAGGCAAACCTGATCTTGGTGATCGTCCTTGTAAAGAAAGAAGCCAGCAGCATGCAGAGGACGAGCGATCCATCTGCGGCGGCATGCAGCCAGCCTCCTCCAGCCCTGCCACGCATCTGTGCTGGGCTCAGGGTGGGAGGGGAAGGACGTGGCACCCTGCAGCGCTGGGTGTCACCAATCCCAGCTTTACACCTGCAGCCATTTGCTGGATGACAGCATGGGCAAAGTGCCATCTTGGCTGCAGTGCCGGCATCTCCCGGGGGACTGGCTGGAAGGAGGCGATTAGGCTGTTGTTCAGTCAGGGGAGGGAAACGGGGACAATTTTCTTCAGAAAACCAGTGCTTCAGCAGCATGTAAAAGCAAACTTCTCCTGCATGAGGAAAAGCAGAGATCTTGTGCAGCAAGCCAGCCTTCCTCTGCCATGAGCTTGGCCCGCACCTATGACTTCCCTCCACCCATTGCAACATTACCACGATTGCTATCTCTACTTATTTCAACTTACCCGGACCAGTTGCTGAGGAAAGGGGCCCCTTGAATTTTCTGGCACGTTGATGGGGGGGATGACCCAGTCTCGCTTCTGCCTCCGGAGGCCTTTCGCACTCTGGTGTTGGCGCCAGGGGAGCAGGGTGTCACTTTGCTGCTGCGCCAGGTCCACGGGTCCACTCTTCCTTCCCTTTGGCTGTTTTGGAAGCAAGAAAGCAAACCCAGTTAGCTTCTGTCTCCTCATTTCTTAGGACCTCTCCCAACAGCAGTGCTTCCCTGCTTGTAAATGGTCACATGGAACTGTGAAAATTATTGTTATTAACGTGATATATTCCTGCATCACAAAGACACAATATGCTTTACTGTCAACTCAGCTGCCACTTCATTTTCACAGATATATGGAGCTGTCAGTCTCAAATCAAGATGCCTCCCAGAATATATCGTCTTCATTACACCAGCTGCAGGGAGCTTCAGCGGCACACTGGGGCAAAGAAGTTCCTGCAAATTTCTAATAAACGCAACCTACCAGAACACAGCAAAAAAAAAAAAAAAAAAAGAAGAAAATTCCTTTACTATATTATAGGTTCGGGTTTATAGCACAAAGTTACCCCACTCCTTGGTGTTAGCAGGGTTACAGCAACCTGTGGCCCACAGTTCTGCAGGTGCATCTGGCCAAACCAAACACATCAGGACCAGAGGGAGAGTAGCTTTGTGCCTTCAAAAGCGAATGAGTTCAACTTAGTACTGCACAAGAAGTGACCTTTTTATAAAAGCTGGGTTTTGAATACAAATCTCAAATACATATCTCTCCATGTAGCCTGGAAAGTATCTCAGTCAAACAGTTTTCATGATTTGAAGTGCTTGTGAGTCATTCTTTATGATTTTTTTTTTTAAATAACTGACTCTGCCCATGGCAAACTTTGGTGCTGGTCATCCTGACCGGAGGGAGGTTTGTTTCTTCTCATTGTCTCCCAGCTTAGAAGGCCTCCATCCCATAACCCTGCTGGAATAAACATTCCCACTTTCTCACATGCCCATAAATTAATGTCACTGACCCAACTTGGCTTCCATTACTGTTTCCTTCTCTCCTTATCCCTTATGCCTTGGAAAGGTTCTTGACATGCAGTTTTAAAGAAGCAGATACCCTCTTACAAATCTTTACACCCCAAACACAAGAACACCATAGAGCACTAAGAAAAACACAGCAAAGTTTTGTTGAGGTCCTTGCAATTTTAAGCTATGCTAAGTTTTAGTTTTGCTCCAAACAAACAAACACCAACACATATTTGCAAGCAGTTATTTGTAGGCACTGAGTTCAGCAAGAATCACTGCTTTGAAATCTGTAGTGTGACATAAGTCCATCTAATAGCACGTTTCAGTAGTTCTCAGCCTGGAAGTGCAATGAAGCAGGCAGCCACCTGAAAACTAACAATATCTGCAGCTCAGTGGTGGCTGTGAAGCTGTGTGGCTCTTCTGGATGCTGAGAGCTGGACATGGCAGCGAGGAGGCCATTCTCACAGCTTGGCTGTGGCCCTGATTGCTGGTACCTGTGGAGCACAAACAGCTGCTGGCTGCAGCTATAGGAGGCATTTGTGCACAAATGCAGCTATCTTTACTACAGACCTTAAAAATGAGCCACTTTGAACAGAGCTGGATTTTTAGAGAGCAGACAAATGTAGTCTTTTTCAGTCATATCTGTAGCCATGTTTCTCAAACTGTCTCTCATGCTAATTCACACCACCAATACGACTGGCGTTTTGTGCTCCAGCACTTTTCTATACACTTTCTCCAAGCCCTATCACTAAGTTGCTACAAGAACACTATGCTACTCTTCAATATTTAGAAGCTGTTCTACAAATACTCACTTAAGTTTGTACTGAACAAAGAAAGAACATCACGCTACGGCAGTGGGAGAGTTTTTCAGGATATTCAGGATGTGGTAGAGACCGTTGAACTCATCCTTCCTATGGGATGCAGTATGCTATGTCCAATAGTTTCCATCTAAAAAGGGCTTTTTCACCAGAAAGGTATCTTTTCTGAATACTGATGTAAACCATGTTATCTCAAGAAGATACCCAGAAATGAACATCAGCGTGAAATAGGACTACCAGACATGAGCTACAGAAAAGTGGATATCCTCCTTCTTTTAAATTGGCTTGTGATTCCCAAATGGAGTTCCTTGGAGAGCAGGTATTTGGATCAGTTTATATAATTGGCAAGTGAGCATGGGGACAGATTATGAAAGGATGGTCAAATAATTTGTGCACTGCTGGGTTTACACAGTGGAATGAGTCTGAACTAAAGACAGACTTGAGAATTAACATGAATCCCAAAGCTCCATGTATACTGAAATAATTAGTGTCAGCTCAGCAAAGCAGTACCAGCCTTTTTAGTCTTTATGAAATATTTGCTGGCAGGTGACTAGACAGTGACTAGCTTGCTTGTCACTCTTGATGATGTTTTCCTACATTAGAATAAATCATCAACATGACTCTGAATTTGGTATGTAGAATTTCAAAAGCGCCTTGCAACAACAGTTTTTTGTTTTTTTTTTTTTTAAAAAAAACAGCTCTTTTTTATCTTCATTTGTTGGCGCTGCATTCTCGTGACCTTAATTTCTCTGGTGTTGTTTAAATACGTTGTACATGTTTTCTGCTGTTTAAAAGCTGTGAGACAAATGCAGTAACAAAGTCTGGTGAGTACAAATGCCAGAACTATTTAGATCTCCAACTAAAACATCCAAGAGCATCTCTGGAATAACAGCAACAACTAACCATGAGCCCCACACAACTCCCCTGTACTTCTCAGTTGGCAAGTACCTAAAGTTCAACTCAAAAGCAGAATGTGACACCAAGTTAAATTAATTATAAAGTACAGCTTCAAATTCTGTTTCTGCTGAATAACAGTTTTTATTGAGATAACAACTGCTGCCTCTCTCATGGCCTCACTGGCCATATGCTTTCCAGATTCCCAGGCAGAGATCTTCGAAAGATAAAATGTTCCTCTACCTTTTGTAGTGTCATCAGAACGCAATCTGTCCACAGTCCTTATCACAATCAATTGAGCACCTCTAGTGCTACTGCTTTATGCTAGTTTCCTCCCATTGCCTTTTTGAGGTGCTTTCACTCCGTTACATGTGGAGAAATGACAACAGGCATTCCAGCAAAATAGAAGTCCACAGATTCCCAGCTCTCCACCTTGTGCCTTAATTACTGGGTTTCAGGAAGTATGAGATGCCCCAACATGCTCTGCACTCAGAAGGGCCATGCTCTGTGCTGGGATCTGCTCCCCCTGTGCAGGTCCTGCTGCAGCTCAGTGCAGTCCATCCCTCAGAGCAGGAAAAGGAGCTGAAGCCATGCACTGACACAGTACTTAGAGGATATGCTTGCACAAGTGGATTTTTCTAAGTGTGAAATCATCCTCTCTGCACCAACAAACATCACTGACAGTAATCACAAAATACCTCCAGCATAACCTACTGTGCAGCACCTCCCTCATCTCAGGTCCACGCATGAGCACAGGGAAGACAACATCTGCAGCTCCTGATTTTCCAGGTGAGCTGTAGCCCATGCTATCTCAACATCAAATTCACTAGACTTGAGATTAGAAGTAGTTTCCTTGCATGTCAGGAAATCATCCGTCCAGACAGCACTGCACGATTTCTCTGCTCTCCAGCATATACCTTTGGTTTTAGGCAGAAAAAAAAAAAAAAAAACCAAAAAACCCAAAAAACAGAAAGCAGATCTTCAATACAAACGTCACATACTCTGATCAGCTGAAGATTTACACAGTCTCCTCAGACACAGGCCAGGAAGACTCTGTTGCTGACCATGATTCCGGGCCCTAGCCCAAATAGTTCCAAATGCTGTCGACAAACCAACACAGTTAGGCCTACTTAATATGTTTAGAACAACAGATTTTGGTTTACATCACCTTAGAGATATCTCATTATCACGGCTACACAGGGTACGAAATCCAAGCTGCAAAACCACAGCCCATTCTGCAGCAGCAGAAGAAACACATGCCAAATGGCAAATTGCATCTACTTTCTGTTCTGAAAATGACACGGTGACATCTAGAGTTTGTTACAACACAATCAAACACCAAACATGGAAGCCGTGAGCACAGTTTTTGGCAATACAAAGGCATGATTCTATAGTATAAAATTTAGTAATTATGTCTGTCTGGTAGTTTAGGCTACAACAGCTAAGTCATTTGAATATCTTCACATTCAAGGAGAAAAAGTGATTTCAAAGCGTGGGGTGAAGAAAAATAACAGACCATGCTGAGATATAAACTTCTTATGGATTTGGATTCAGTATGATTTAATGCCTTAGTATTCATATTAAGGTAAAATATTTTAAAGCTTGCTAACGAAGCAATGCAAAGCATGCATTGCTATCTGTTTTACCTGAAGCCTATATTCTGCAAACCTGGAATCATCTCTCAGCTTAGCTTCTGTTGGGCTTGTCCATATACACAAATGTAGAGATGTAGGTAAATCTTGATAAAGCTGTTGCATTTTCTGCTAGTTAAATGCTTCTTTCTATGAAAAATGCATCCACAATATTCATTATGAGCAGTTGTTGGGCAGGGAAAGAGCCTCTCCGAGCCCATCCTCCCTGTGTTTGATCAGGAAGTCATTAACATGCTGAGGACTAACTGCAGGGCAGACTGGCAGTATTCTCTTTGCCGCTCACCTGTTTTTCAGGAAGGCTATCAGTTAAAACCAACTCGAGACATACAGAGGTAAACTCAAAACCTTTTACTGAAATGGCAGGTCAAGCTCTCAGAAATAAATGTGAGTTTGCAGGCAGCACAGTCTTATCTGCAAGGACTGTGCAAAGATCTTTACTCTCAAAGGCTGCTCCACATAAGGCTTCCCTGAAGTCTGTGCCTGTGACTTCAGCGGCATCTTACAGGAGTAATTCCAATCCCTTTTCAGTCTGGTGTTGTATTTAATGATGATAAATACAACCGGCTGCGTTTACAAGAGGATGTGTATCTAAACCTCTAGGGACTGCTGGACTTGAAAGCTGAATGGATGTAAGAAAGTTTTCTCAGAACAGCTGAGGCTGTACGGTGCCCCAGCTGACTCCAATTGTGCCACAGCACTGAGAGCTCATGGAGACTCCCGGTCTGCATTCAGCACTGGCAATAAATAGTAAGGCAGAATGACCATCTATCTGCTGGCTG